AGGTGGAAATACAGAACAAAAACCCCAAAGGAAAAACAAAAAAAGATATACAGGACAGTCCAAGGACTGTTGTACTTGCACCAGACAACATCGCTGGCACATTGACAAAAAAACGAAAAAAAAAACATAAAAATGGATTTTGAATCAGGTATTATTTCTGCGAATGGTGGGGCTTCAATCCAACTAAAATTTCGAGTCTAAAACCTCCCCAAAAATGACAAAAAAAAAAGACACCGTCCTTCTACAAATCAAATCAAAATGAAATATCGATGGTGAAGTCGGACAGACTATGGTGGTATGGCACATTCAAACATTATAGCATAAAATAACGTAACTATGCATTGTGGAAAACAAGAAGCAGTACTGAAGAGAAGTTTGCACATAAAAAAACTAAAAGTGAAATAATAATAAAACTCATAATAGAAAAGCAAAGGCACGTGTTATTATTTGTCTAAATTACACCACATAGGCGACACGGGGCCCACACACGTATGCCCAAAAGAAAGGACCAAAGCCAAACTTCTGCTCAACAGAGTACTTCACGTAGAGAAAGCCGTCGGCATCCTTGCAGTGTTCGTAGAGCTCGCCAACGAGTGCGTCGCTGGACGGCATACCGTCGTTCGTGATGAGGGACAGTGGGGCCGTTGCTCCGAGTTCCGCCGCCGCACGCACCGCGTCGCAGAGCTGCGCAGCTGTTGCGGTGGCTGGCACCATTGTGTGGCACACACGCCCGCCCTTGCGCCCCGCCGCCGCGGCCTCGCACACAACGGGCACCATGCCGGGGTGGCGCTCCCGCAGCCGGGCACTCTCCGCGCAACGCTCCTCCAGCGGGTGCTGCGCCTGGTACGCATACACGGCAGTGGCAGTGGCTGTCTCTGGCATTCTGGATTGCTGTTCTGGTATTATCTTGGTGTGTCTTAAGAAGCGGAAAGACTGAAACAGGCATGAAATGAAGAGAAAAAAAAGAAAAGGTGTTACTTTTTTTTTTTTTTTTGTGATCACTGAGATTTGGCCAGTTTGTGTTTGTAAAATAGTTATGTCTGTGCAATTAGAATTTTACCAAAGTAAAATATATTTGTCTTGTATTGTTTGTTTTGGACGGCGATAGATATTTTTTTAAAAAACGCTAAAAATTCACTGTACAATTTTCTTTAGGGAATTGCCGTTGTCTGCACTTAACTGTAAAAGGAAATGAATATCTCCATCTTTCAAATCTTTTCGGATGAGTTGGAGTACCTCAGCACACTTTACAGGATCAAGGTGTTCACTGTTGGGTAAATCGTTATGATCCTGAAGCAACTCATGAAAAAGAAAAATACGTTTACGAACTTCAAAGGCGTTTCTTTGTGCCTTATAGAGACGTTCTTCTAATATTTTTCGTTGTTTTTTCCGTTCTTCTCTTGATTTAAATCGTTCTTTTTGTTGGCGTTGATTAATTGTTTGGTAAAGTTGTTTGTTATTCTCCCATTTGTCGTCCATAAAATGGGCGAGACGCATCATGGCTACTCTTGAAGAGAGAGGATAAAACTGTATTGCGTATCGGGTCATGTAGTGTAACCTAATCCAACCTATTAAGGTCTTCATAAATGATAATATAGATATTGAATGGTTATCATTTTCATTTATATTTTTTTTCAAAACAGATGAAAATATTTTGTTAATTAGTTCGCACTCCACCTCCGCGTGTGAAGAATCCGCATTTACTAGAGAGGAAAGTATGTAAAAAGCAATAGTTTTTGTAGAAGATGAGGTATTTTGTTGTCCTTCATGTTGGTAATAATTCGGCGCGTGCTGTCGCAATAACTCATGGAGTCTACACTCTAATGCGAAAGTTCGCTTTGCCGCTTCCTTGTGGTTTTCAGTCATTATTACATTACGTTCGATTTCGAACTGATATCGTAATTTCTCCTTTAACAAGGAAATCCGCTCCAAATTTAACTCTTCTAAACGATATAAGTGACTGATTATGTGTTGTTCTCGTCTTTCTCGAGATAACCCACGTGATAGGTTATCTCTAAATTGGAGTACATTACTGTTTTCTGATAAGTGAGGTGCAGTATAGCGCGAAGAATATCGATCTTTAGTATTTATGAAGAGATCGTTAAAGGTATTGTCTTCATTTAAATAGTGGGCAGATCTCATCTATTTTTTTTTTTTTGTGTGTTTCTATATTTTCTAAACTCACACGTATTCTACTTAGAAATGTCTTTCAGTATGGTAATACCCTGTTTTTGTAACTATATTTTACTTGTTTGTTGTTGCTAGCGTTAGTGTTTTCTCAGTTCTCAGAACTTTTGTTGATACAACTAAGCGTAAATTTGAATAAAAGGATGTATGAGTAAAATAAACACCTTCAAGAGAAAAAAAAAAAATAATAATAATAATAATAATAATAAAAATAAATATGATATAAGCTCATCCCCATGAAATTACAAAAACGAAAGAAATGCTACCAACACATTCCTTTTTTTTTCTCTTGAATATTCACGTTCTTTTCGTTTTTTTTTTTTTTTTAACCTTTCTTTTCTTCTTCATCTCCCTTCATTGTGGCTTCTCATTCTATTTCTTTCTTTCTTTCTTTCTTTCTCTCTCTCCCTCTTTTTTTTTTTTAATCTCCTCATTCCTCCGTTACCGCTTCTCACCATCCTCTGAGTTCATCATATCCTGCAAGGCATCCACTGTGTACCCTTCTGAGTCTGTGCTGTCCACCGCCTTTCGCACCTGCATGCCCTTCACCTCCAGCCACATGTCCATTGGGGTCACAAAGAGACTTCGTTTCTTCGCATCCCGGTATTTTTCATACAATTCACTGCTGCGCCGCTCCACCCGATCATAATCCATGAGAGAGTAATGGGCTTTACTCTGCCCACTCGGACGGCGCACTTTCAGTTCCACTGAAGGCCAATACTCCTCCCCTAATTGCGCCTTGCGTGCATCTGCGAGAAGTTCCGACAACTTTACAGTACCATATGTCATATTATCAGACTGATCCTCATATTTGTCAGAGTCAAGTTTTAAAACACCCATTCCAACACGTTCCTGTGCTAGAATACGTAATCGGCGTTCTGTTTGCATATCTACAAATGGTTTTCCATTCGCATCTAATCTTTTCAAGTCATTAATACGACAACGCAAAGAAACGTTACGATTATGTATATCCACCATTCTTTGATACCATCCTTGCCAATCATATCGTTTATATTGCAAGTTATCATATTGTTCTACAAATCCAACTTCAGTAGGAACATTATGTTGATAACTTTCTATTCCTACAGGACCAATACGACGACGTAAACGCTGTGCCATGAGTGCTGCACCTGCTTGAGGAACATATGTGAGTCTTATAAAGATATGCATTAATACTTTAAGTATTTCTAAAGGATTTCTTACTTCTGTTTGAATAACACCTGCTTTTACCCAGTTTGAATGACGATTAGACACCGCTTCAAGAACACAACTCATTACCTCTTTATTTAAATGAGGTCGTTTAATAAGATTCTTTTCTTGCAAAGATAATGCTTCCTTATCAAGTTCACTCATATCTACACCTAATTGACGTAAAATATCACATGTTTGATCCACTTTTTGATAAGATGAAAGTTCTTGTACAATACGCTCAATTTTAAGCTTTTTTGATTGTTCCCTTTCTTCACGTATATGAATAATATCTTGTAATTCTTCAGCGTATGCTTCGGTAAAAAGATGTTTAGAAACCCCTTTAGCTCCAATAGCATTTTTTATATGTTTATGAACTGCCACCAATACCATTTGATCTCGAAGTAACGCAATTCCCAATTGTCGCCAATTACTTGACCAATCAACACTTTGCATTACAGCATCCCAATTAACTGAAGTAAAACTTGTAATACCCAAGATTTTAGCAATTGTTTCACGAACAGCAACGTCCGTTCCACCCATTAATGAGGAAAGTAAAGTTTTAACTTCACTTTTGCTCTCAAAACGAGAAACAGCATCTGCAATATCATCTTCAAGAAGTTTTTCATTGTTATTCATCGCCTCACAAAGTGAGGCTTCACGACTAAGATCATGCAATCCATACTCTCGTAGTATTTTAGATAAAGCATTAGAAGATTCAACCTGTAACATTACAGAAAGTGTCTTGGCAACAAAACGACGTTTTACAACAGGGTTAAGAAGATTTAATGATACCCCTTGTTGCCATTTACTAGAATTTCGTTTTATACCATCATCAAGAGTTAAAGATAATTCTTTAAGCTCATCTGATACAAGTCTACCGCTTTCATCAATACAAACAAGAGTTAAAAATAATGCAACAGGTGCAGTAACATCTGGAAGACGTACCACATCTTCTTGCATAATTGCTTCCCAAGCAAAACGAACCGCTTCTAATGTATTTTCTCCTAATAATTCATTTTTATTAGCTTCAACTGCTTGAAAAAATACTCGCCACACTGCGTCTCCAAATCCTAAATAAGAACCATTTGACACAACATCAATAAAATTTTCTTGAATATATTTATTTCGCTCCAAAACTGTTCGACGTCTTAGAGCTTCAATTGCCAAAGGTCCTTCTGCACCACTTAATGATAGTGTACGCATCTTCTGTAATGCTTCTTCACAAATATGAGATAAAGTGGTTTCAAAATTTTCTCGGTGAAAAATATGTTTTTTAACAATTTCATCCGCTTTTTTAACCATTTCTTTCCAAATGGTTACAAGTTTTACCTTATCTGTTTCATCAGACACCAATTGAGGTATAATAACTGCCTCAAATTTTAAAAGAAGATTATCTGCTGCAGGGGAAAGAGAAGGTACATCAGGAACCTGTAGTTGTTTTAAATACAGTGGAAGTCGTGGAAAACGATCTCCCAACCAGTACTGCATACTTCCCCATGTTTGATGAAGTGCATTACACTCATCTACAGTGGCTTCTCGTAAAATATACGCCTGTGCCACTGAGCTTGCCGGCTCTCTACTCTCCTGATTCGGTAATGTACGCACATATGGATCCTCTGCACTTGTTCCTGTGCCTTCGTGGACTCGTGTGCGAAATAAATCGGCCGCGCGGGGGGCGACGGTGGCGGAATTGTAATTATTCGCCACCGCTGCGGCCGCGGCCTCTTGCGCCATCGAGTTGTGCTGCACGACCCCCGCGCCGTGTGTGCGGAGGAGGAGCCGCTCGCGGCCCTGCAGCTGCAGGAGCGGCCGGGTGGGGAGAGAAATGAGGCGGGAGGGGCACTCCGGGCCGGAGAGGGCCGTCAGCGGCCGCCGGGATCGCAGCATTGATAGCTATGTTTTCTCTACCAACACTTTATACAAAAGGGGAAAGAAAGAAATAAAAAAAAAAAAAAAAGAACCCTAAAAAAAAGAAAAGAAAGAAAATACATAGATAGAGAGAGAGAAAGAGAGACTAATAATAATAATAATAATAATAATAATAATAATAATAATAATAATCATAATAATTCACAAAAAAAAAAAAAAGATTTAATCCTTAATCATCACAAGTAATCAGTGAAACAAGTCAAACGCCACCAACATTAATTTTCCAAATAGAGAAATTATATTACTTAGAAAAAAAGTTGACTGACAAAACACAGCCACTGGAATTGGTTCATCTTCATTGGATTATACCAACAGAACACTTGATTCTGCGCTTCTGTGCGCAATGCCTCCACATATTTTCCACCCTGCAGTAATACCAAACCAAAGAGGAAACTACATTGAATCGTCCATTGAAGTAAAAACAAAGTCATCACCTTCAACAGTGCCGCCTTCACAAATTCACCTGCAGGTGTAAACAACACATCACCTCCTCTACCACTGGATGCCTGTACTCCAACGCTAGCAGAGCGATAGTAGAAATAACGTACCAACGCATACACTAGCCATATAGGTGAAAAGACCCAAATAAAAGCACTAAAACCAGCCACACAAAACACTACCGCTGCAGGCAAAAGAACAGCTCCAAAAACAATGAATGTGCTACACTGGATCAATACAGTTTCAAGGTCCTCAAGCTCCAGTCTACCAATCTGAACAAGTACTTCAACAATAAGCACGGAGTCTTTCGGCTCTTCGGGTTCCACAACCAAATCCTTTCTACCACAATCAAGGTCAAGTGGGAGTAAAAGGCGAGCACCATACTCCAATACAGGCGTAAGTAACCCACTCATCAGATTGGCTGCACAACAAACAACTAGCCTATCCCAACCACCCTTAAAATCAAAATGATACTGAATTATCATTAACATTATTAAGCTTTTTGCTGTGGCTATGATCATATACTTGGGATTATAAACAAAAACCATACGTTGTGCTTCAAGTCTTACATATTGTAATGAATTCTGTAAGGCCTCATTTGCTATGGAAGCGTTTACTACAGGTGAAGTCTCTTCTAATGATTGTGGATTAGATATTCCCTGAAAAAAAAGTGCATTATCAACGTGATCAGTAGAGACTGTGTTTGAATCCAAAAGACCATCACCTTCTCCATATCCGTTGGATTCCGTTACAATAGTTTTAACATCTTTTTTTTGTTTAACAATAAGCGAATGTCTTAATAACCGCAATACGCTGCTCCATTTTTCTATTGTACGTGCAACTGTTCCCCTCCCTGAAAGAATGTAATTAAAAGCCGCATTAAAGAGACAGCATAACACACTTGCAAGAAAAACAATGTATATCGGTGGAATTATCAAAACTTGTGTTACGTATGCGGCTGATACAGTAGGATCTATGGTTATTGGTTCAACATTATTTGTAGGTTCCCTAACATTATACGAGATTGAATGGTCAAGCATGATCAGTTTTTTTTTTTTTTTT